TATTTCTCAGTAGCTGTAGTGTCGTTATCAGCAGCAGCAGTGGTGTAGCTAACAAGCTGCGTGTTAAAAATGGACAAGGACTACACACCTGCAACGTCCTTTATCAAAACACTTTAACTCTCTAATAGCAGCTCCACTGTTGTTTTTCATCTCACTCATTCTCTCATCCTCTCACTTACATACAGCAAGTTGGTCTGCTGACTCAGATATGGTAAAGTAATGGTTTGGTTCAACTCTCACATCAATAACAGATGAGCCCTAATCGGCCCTTTGACACACACACACACACACACACACGGACCGGCCCTGCTGGCTTGCACCATTTGCATAATAGTATTTCCCTTTTTCTCCATTCCCCAAATAGCTCCCGATTTTCTCCATCTCGCAGTCTCTCTCCCTCTCGCCACATTGTCTTGTGTACTCCTGATGGAAAAAGGCTTGACTATAAACAAATACAATTCCCTCAGTGGCCCACAAACTGAGACAGGGATTGTGGGGAAGGAATTTATCTGCGCTCAAACTGAGCGTGGCAGCAGTGGGGAGGATATTCATTTCCAGACAGACAACCCACATGGACCTCAATTCTGGGCTTCTAGGCTTTGAAAGTTCACTAATTTTGAAAGGGAAATTGGGCTAACGTTTGTCATTTATGAATCAATCATTGATCCAGATTGTATCATTAAATAAAGCTGTGCACATACATAAACTCATTGATGACAAAGTGTTAGAATTAAACTTTATGAATTATTTTATCAGCAATGGTATCATTACAAATTATATCATTTTTTCCCGGCAACTCAAAATGTGGTTTCTTCTATGGGCGCTTCAGGTCTTTTTTAGGGAAGTAACAAATTTGACATGGATTTCTGTCTGAACATCTTGATGCACTGTATTCCTCTCCACATAACTCCATGTAAGCCACAACATTTTACTAGGTAATATGTTGTAAATCATTTGGAGTTATGCCCATATACGCAAACTTTGCTCTCGTAATAATCTCTGGAGCACAAAATGTGCATTAATCTGCAGATTAAACTGTCCCTAAAAAATACAGCGTTACCTTGAAGGACTTTATCTTGCATAACCAGAACATACTGAAGAGCAGAATGGTCTGGGTGCACCTCATTACCATTCCGCTTTACGGGAAAACAGCTCTGGCTTGCTTGTATTTCTTTAAACCAATCACATTTGTATTGGGTGGAGCTGAGCCAAGATGCATCAACAGTGTCCCCTCAAATCGTAAGCATTTGCCAATAGGGAGGCAAGCACTGTCATTAAAATGAATAATTCTCAAAAACAAACAAACAAAAAAACCTGCTTTACTCTATGATCCAAATCCTCTGTAAAACTTGAACTTGGTAGGTTGCTGTTTGAAGGTTGTCGTTGCTGTTGCTTCAAGTGGATTTCAAAAACAGGAAAATATCGATACCATGACCACCATTTAGTCAAACTGTTGAAGACCATACTGAGTCCTGATTGAACGAAAGTATGTTTGGCTCTCTTTTTAGAAAATTACATCTTTAGTTGGAATAAAGTACTTTTGGATGTGAAAGAGTATCAAAAGACCAACTAACACATTTGGTTTTGGACTTTTCATGGTATTTTCTGGTAATAAGAAAAACATCAGCCTTGCCTGTGAATTGTGTTCTTGTCATCTAGTTAATGATACAGACAGAGGAGAAAGTTTTAATGTCTGTTTATAAGTCCACTACAGGGAGAGTTAGTTTACATTAGAACACTGTCAGCCTCATTTGACCACTTTAACTAGTTCCAGCCTTTAGAGGTGATAACCTCTGGCCTCTCTCCCTTTTCTTTAAAGCCTTTTTAATGGAGATAGAGTCAAGAGTAGAAAAATCAGGCAAATCAGGCTGTCTTTTTCTCTTTCTGTCACCCAGTATAGCCAGACTGGTTGGTACTGGGATGGGCATTTGGACCCGGGGTAGCACTGATGGGTGGGGGTGCCGTCAGCCCTGCTGATTTATCACCTGGGTAATAGGAAGTGATTGAGGGGAAATTCAAATGAACTCTCTCTGACAGGCACACATGCAGACACACATACGAGCACGCACACATAAATTAATAGTGGGGCTTAATAGACTACAGGGAGAGGGGGAACGAGAGCAGGAGAGAGAGATGAGATAAAAGGATGGCTTGTTAGGGAAGAAAGATAAAGAAAAGGTCTGAGACAAACAGGATAGAGGAGTAACTACTGCTGACAGATAAAATAAGATTTGCTTGCGAGGAACGTGAGCAATTTTACTTTTTGTCTATTCTAGTGGGATGGAGGAAGAAGAAATAATGAATGAGGCTCATGTTTTAGTGCTAGAAAGCAAAAAAAAAAATAATGAGGAGCTTGACATAACCACTGAAATTACAGTATATTAATATACCTTATACTGTTGACACTTGAAATTGAGCCTCTTGAGCCACTGTTTCTCTCTCACTCGCTTGCTTTCTCAACCTTTTTCTTTCTTTCTCAACCCAAACACACTTCATAAAAGCCACCCCTCCCCACACATACACACACACACAACACCACCAGCAGGGCCAAGTCTATCAGGCATCTTTTAGGAATGTCAGTCACAACACAGCATGACCCTCCTTGACCGTAACCCCACCAGCTCAAACACACACACACACACACACACACACACACACACACACACACACACACACACCTTAGCCCACATACCAAAGAGGCTGAGCAGTAGCTGTCAGGGTGTCAGTGTTAAGGGTATGACTGTCAATCATTCCCTCTGGGAAAAAGGAGGGTTTGGCAGAGGTGGAGGAACAGATAGTGATGTAGATTTTTGTGTGTGAGAGTGTGTGTGTGTGCTTGGATCTCTTTGTAATGCAGTTCCTAAAGCCAGTTTGACCCCAGTGCGACCCACAGTTTAAACGCCCTGTCCCAGACCTCTACCCCAGCGGCTTGACCGGGCTCACAGAGGACACTGACCTATGAATCATGGGTATTATAGTCTTGAGTCGCAGTCTATAGAGCTACTACAGCCAATCCCTGTCGACCTCTCGCCCTGTGCCACTCCACTCCCCATGTCGGTCACAGCGAAGTGAATGGGTTAAAAAGACAAACTCTGCCCCGTAGGTCTAAGGCTGCAGCTTATTTGTGCTTCCATATACTACTACTCCTCTAGAGTGTAATTGTCCTCTTGCCCTTGACACTGACTGAATAAATAAACATAAAAACAGGGGTATCTTTAAAGACTGTGGAAGCAAAAGTGTCATTTTGAGACATTGGCAAAATATTTCCTTAGCATTGACTGGAGGGCTGCAGATTAGAAGACATCTGAGAAAAGCGAGGCAGAATACAAATGATAACTTGTTGTCATTTTGTTATTCAGCGTACTACTTACACCTGTCTATTCCGCTCAGATTTACATTAATTTACTGCTGGGAAAGGGCGGGAGGTCAATTTAGATGCAACATTAAGACACACAGACACACCCTTTCTCCCTCTCAGATTTTCTCTCGCACGCAAACAACACACACATATGTAGCACATTCCCAAGATGCATCAGCATTCGGATAGCTCCATCACTGTCCCCAAGCAGCAGGAAGTGAGGTCATAATGAGAGCCGGGTCAATATGCTCATTAACCCCTGCAGCGTGTCTAGATTATAGGAACATCAATAGATCAGGCCTGACTGCGTCTCATCACAGCATCTGTGAGAGCGCAGAAACTCACAGCAGTCCTGTCAGGCTAACAGAAAACACAACTTGACGTTAACATTTTCAGATCAGTCAGTGTATAAGCAACATGAAAGAGGACGATTAGGACAAATGCAATGTTCATGTATTGCTTTTCTAAATTGGAATTTTGTTGTGCAATTTCATCAAGATTGACATGGCATGGCAAGGCAAAGCAGGCAGGCTTTTTAGCTAAAAGCAGAGACAAATATTTTGTATGATGCCTGGCTAAAACAGGAAACACTACTGTTAGCATGCAGATGTGGTGAACAGTTCACCAGGCAGTGTTGAATTTCTTTGCGTCTGTCAGTCATCGATTGGCAAATGTTTAGCCCGTTGATCTTACACAGCATCATTCAGTGCTATAGCATTAGGGCTGCCTCCTTTAATATCTAAATATCAAAATGATCATTTATCTGCCAATGAAGGCTCAGCTTTCTTTTACAGCTTTTCCTTTAGTTATAGAAGAATGTATTTAGCACCTCTGTCCATTGGCAGATTCAAACTGCTATTTACTAACTAATTAAAAATATTGGCTGGCATCATACTATATTTTTGTAGTGTAAAGGAAAAGACCAAAAAAGCAATATATTAATCTGTCTCTCAAGACTTTCTAATTTTCTTTGTGTCCTTGGGACTTAGCCTTAAGATCATGAGTTCTTGCTTAAGATATAAATTTTGTGGGGCTGTTTTTAGGCACAGATTAGTGCACGCTTGGTGCTCTGGTCTGGTCTTATCATTTATGACATCGGGACTGCTTACGTGGCATCAGCTAAAATAAACTGTGGTCATGTTCATTGTAATTAGGGAACATCCAGCACAAAGATGTGGCTCACTGGTGTGTTTTAATTTGTTTGGACAACAATAGAGATCTATGGTTCAGAGATACAGAGACAATGTTTGTTTATGGGAAGAATTAATTGCTGCTTTTGGTCATTTCATGCGGTTTGCTAACAGTAAGAAAAATATAGAGTACTGCCACACTTATCTTTAAGTGCACTCACTCCGGCAGCAATGATTGCTAAATGAGCAGCAAGCATTACAAAGCGCAGTTGTAGCAGCGGCACAACTGGAAGTGTGAAAGTCTAAAACAGTGCAGTGACAGTGACCTAAAATGTGACACTGTGTCTGGTGGGCCCACTTCTGCTTCTGTGAGCCTCTGGAAGTTTTTCATGGCCAGTTTTTTGTCTGCATCACTCTTAGTTTTCATAAAAGCACCCTTCAGTCTTGCTAACCCCTGACCTGTTCCCAAACTCAGCCTGAGCCCTCGGGCCTGCACGATGCCTCGCCCTTACCTTGCCAGAGTCAGGGCTCACATAGAGGTCAGAGCTGGATTGGATTGGACAGGATGGCTGTCTGTCAAAGAGGCGGTCCAATACCTCGATCTGCTGTGGCGAGAACAGCTCCCCTCTCATCTGCTTCCTGAGGAAGTCCCGCCCACTGTGGCCGTGCCCATTGGCCAGCGGCGACTCCTGCAAACCTGCACAGAGGAGACAGGAGAAGGAAGTGAGTTAGAAAGGTTGTAAATGGAAAAATAATTTCTGGAGGGAAGTTAAAGGAGAAAGTGAAGAGGAGAAAAAGCAAGCGGTTTGTATGATGGAGGGAAACACCAGACAGACAGTAATAGAGGAAAGAAGGGAGGAGGGAGTTGATAGCATAAATCACTGGGACAAATGTGGAGAAAGAAGTTAGTGGACTCGAATGAACTCCAGCGAACTGATTTGAGACTGAGTGACTTCATAGATTGTGGAGACTTGGAGAAAATGGTATACAAATGCAATCCATTACCAAGCATACGCTGTCTCTCCTTCTTGATCTCTCAAAAGTACACTCTCTCCTCTCATATATACACACTGCTCCGTCCCTCCTGTCGTATCACCCATACACACACAGACACACAAATATATATTGCTGCGGTATCAGTATTAGACTGTGAGCTCTCGTATCCTGCAGTTATTGCAAGGCTGAGGGACTGAACGAGACAATTATAAGAACTCTGAAGAGTCACGGCCCACAAATGATTAGAAAAGAGAGAACGAGAGAAAAAGATAAAGAGAAAAAGGGGATGAGGGTGAAAATCCCCCGCTATAGAGCCAATTCATTGCTCCAAACCGCTCCTGAAAGTCTATTTTAGTCCTGGGGGTCACTGTGTGTTTGGTGTGTGTGAAAGTGTGTGAATGTGTGTCCGGAGTAGTGATATGACAGACAGGTGGAGAGGGGGTGGGGGCTTCAAATATATATATATATTTTTTTTTCCATTTGGACTGAAAATACAGATTCATTTGCACCAGACTGTGGTGCTAAAGAAATAGCAAGAGTGATGTGAGAAGAAAGAAAGAAAATGAAAGAAAGAGAAAAAGAAAGAAAAAAGTGGTTTGACATGTAGTGTGTCTGAGTTTCGTGATTTGTGAACACAATCTTTCCCTAACCTTAAAAAATAATCTCCTCACCTGCATTAAGCATCAAACTCCTACAACACAGTCAGCTTCCCAATTGACGATGCAACTCGATCACTAACAGTTTGGTCGGAGATTCAGTTGTATTAGGCTTGTAGCAGCTTGTGTCGCCTCAAGCTCATAGATGGAGATGATTCTTTCTTATTTTAAATTTCTAGTCTTTATATCCAACCAGCGGTGACTCACACATCGCAAATGAGCCAACACGTCTACTCTCAGCTTTGATATGGCTTTTGGCCACATATGCAGTAGTACTCCTTAATGTTTGTCACGTGTGTTCTCAGAAACGTTTTGGCATTTTCAGTTTCATAAAGTGCAAGTCAAATTTCCCCATATGGTGACAAATTAGTATCCTGAAGTGTTGGGCGACCATGTGCCACCACAACAGCTTCAAAGCCCCTTGGCATTGATACTGACTGTCTGTCTTTACATCACCCAGTACTGAAGTTCTCATCTGGTGATTTGGTTAAAAAGTTCCAACATTAGGCAGACTGCAAACAAACCAGTTTAGCCCAGTTATCAGAACCACTTTACTTTTGAGGTACAATCAAAAGCAAGTAAAGCTGAAGTGTAAGAAATAATCGCTCCATTGCACAAGACATGAGGATTATGTGTGTGCTCAACTATGATAAGTAGAGTGGATCACAGTCGAAAAAGAAAGCTGCCACATTTGGGTACAATTTCTTATCATTCACGTCAGTTTTTTCAATTTCCAGGAACTTTTTTGCTCATGAATCCACATCTGATTTCATTTCAGTGATCTTGCTGCATCCCAAGCTTGTCCAAAAACAAATGATTATCTATAGGGTTGATGGCCAAAATTAGGAAACTGAGGCCTGCATGTGAGGGAACTTAAACTTGTAATAAATGGTAGAGTAGCATATTCAACCACACATGGATCTGCAATACCTAAGAACTAAATGAAAACTGCAAGCAACATGTTTTGTTTTTTTTAAAATTTGATATCTGTGAATCAAACTGGGCACATTGGCACAAACAGGCTCATTTTAAAGACTCCAAGTAAACCCCAAATCTGAAGAAAGTATCTAGCTCACACTCACACAGTGCCTCCCTATACATTTTCGGTATACAAAGCCTCTTTCACCTGCTCTCTAACAAACACACTCCTTGATCATAATCTCTCTTTCACTTCTATAGTCACCCACACACACACTCATATACAGATGCTGGGGAGCAGTGTGAGTGTATGGTCCAGGTCTCTGGTGACAGACCAATCAGGGGGGGAGATAAAGCCGGTATGATGCTTTAGCCTGGTAACCCACGGCAACCCATTTAATCCCACTGGCCAGTCCCCATGATGGAATTCAATTGATCAATCATGTAGCTCTGATGGCACCATTTCAGCCAGCTTATTGCTTTCTGCTTTCTCTCTGTTGCACACACAACACACACACACACACACACACACACACACACATACACACACACCAAATACACCCAGAAAAACTGACCCAGGCCTGTCATGGTGGAGCACTCACAAAGGATTGGAGAAAGCCAGAGCGAAGGAGATGACAGAGCCTACTGTAAACGAGAACTAAGAACAAAGCTTTTACTTATGATAATCAATATTGTCCATTCATCTGTATGAATGTGTGTAGGTGTGTATGCGTGTGTCTCGGTGTGGATGTGGGTGTGGGTGGGTGGGTAGCTTGATATCCGGCTGGTCTCATTGTATCCATGGATGGGTAAAGAAACTCATTGCCGTGACGGGTTAAATCCTATTCACTGTCGGATACACACACACACACACACACACACACACTCAGACACACACACAGCTGCCTCTATCTCTGTGATTCAGTCTCAGAAGGGAAGCGCTTCTCTTCCCTCTTTTTCAGAGCAGAACAAAACAAACAATGAGCCCTTATTGTTCTCTCCTTTCTGCCTTTTTCCTCTCTCTTCCGCCTTCTCCCTCTCTCTTGCATCTCCCACTCTCTCTCCCTCCTGGTTTTCTCTCCCTCTCTCCATCACCACCTTCCTCCGTCTCAGCCTGTCTTTACCATTTTTTCTCAACAACCAAGGAACACTAGAATTATTGAATCCCTCCAGAATTAGATGGGTTGTCACCTGTATGTCTGCTTTAGCATGCGTTTGTGTGTTTGTCTGCAGGGGGTAGGACACCACCAGTGTGCATCTTTTTTGCACTTGACATAGATTATCATACTGATAGGACAAGGGTCGTAAGTCTGACCTCATAGCCCCATAGCCTCATGCCTTCGTGTGTGTGTCGGTGAGTGTGTGTGCCCCATCCAAACTCCACAGATCAAAGTTTTTTGGGGGGAGGCGATGAGAGGAGCTCAGGGTGAAGGGCGGAAATCCCCTCCCTCCTCTCCTCCGTCCTCCATCTCTTGCTTACTCCCGGCATCTTTTATTTGGTAAGCTGCTGCATGTCACAGTGGATGCACAAGGGGGTGAGAGGTCAACTTGGCATTCTGGGTAAATGCCATTGAAACTATTTCTTCTTCGTGTGAAAGAGTGATTTGAACAAACAGTATATGACTACAAACACAGTGCTAAAATAAGTATTCACTCAGAAATTTAAAGAAATTGTCCCACCTGTCCTGGACTCCATAACCATGTTGGATATACACACACACACACACACACACACACACACACACACAGCTTCAGTATGTAAGAGAATAGGTTAAGGTACAATGGTCCCCTTTTGGCCCCACAAGTCAAGTTCTTCCATTCACTCCCATTCATCTGGATTCTGCCCCCAGTCACCCCCTACTTCCCCTCGCTTTGGCTGGGGGCACAGGTCACCACAGGGCTTTACCCTCACACACTCCTCCTACCAACACACACACATGCACCGCACACATGTCACCGATCCCGCCTTCCTGTGTTCCCATCACTTGCACAGCTGCTTGCTTGCTTGTATGCTTATATGTTACAGGAGTCCGCTGCACAAATGTCCACGACCTCACAAAAACATATAGATGATGATGCAATGTGATACGATACCAAAAAATATGTTGACTTATCACAGCTAAAAACAAAAGCACAGGCAGTGCTAAAAATGCCAATGTTAGCACAGTTACATTCAAGCATCCAAGGAAGTCATTCAGGATGCACTATATCCGGGTAAAACTAACAACAAGCTAAACACAATTTAGTTAGCATTGCCGTGCTGCTGAAAAAGGCCTATAAGAACTGCAGTAGGTTTGTTTCTTCAAGACAAATTCCAGAAAAAGGAAGCAGTCATATGTAGAAGAATACAAAATAATCACCCCATGTCTTAAATTTTACTGAATTTTAATTTCACCTAATAAACTACAGGACGCTTTGTGCTGAAACACATCAGCCCATTAGCTGAAAATAAGATCTACCAAAAATAGTCACTGCATGAGGGCATTCTGTCACGTTTTATTTACCACTGAGGTATTGGCCTTTTCCTGAATTTCTTTAAGAGAAATTAAACGTCACTGATTTTTAGATTCAGTTAAATACTTTACTTCATACATGGAAGACTGAGGCTGAACTGTACCCTGAGATATATAAGACA